GAGAAGGAAGGAAGGGAAATGAGGGGAAGGAAGGAAGGTGTAGTGGCACAGTGGTTAGAGTGTAGTATTGCTGGCTGACTCTGCCCATTGCCTGGAGTTCGATCCTGACCGGTTCAACATTGACTCGGCCTTCTGTCCTTCCGAGGTGGGTAAAATGAGGACCCGGATTGTTGGGGGCAAATAGGCGGACTCTGTAAACCGCTCAGAGAGGGCTGGAAAGAAAGTGCTGTGGCTATTGCTGTCCCCTCCCTCCCTCTTCCCCTCTCCCTTCCCTCCCTCAGGACAGCGGTAAGATGGCTTAGCAACGGCGTACTTAGATGGCTGTTTCTGTCGGTTGTATCCATCGCAGGCGCACCGGCTGGATGAAGACTTTGGCGTCCCTCCCTGAGAACATCCGGCTTCTTTGATCCTGGACCTCGCCCAGCTCCGCTTCCCGCCATGTTCCACCTAATCAAGAAGGACCGAGACGGGTCCAGGAAGGAGAAGAAGAAGGAGAAGGAGAAGAAGGAACGCATGTCGGCTGCCGAGCTGAAGAGCCTGGAGGAGATGAGCTTGCGCCGCGGCTTCTTCCACCTCAACCGGGCTTCCAAGAAGGACGCCAAGAACCGCCTGGAGATCTCCAACCCGATCCCCATCAAAGTGGCCAGCGGCTCAGACCTCCACCTCACCGACATCGACTCCGACAGCAACCGGGGCAGCGTGATCTTGGACTCCGGGCACCTCAGCACGGCCAGCTCCAGCGACGACCTCAAAGTGGACGATGGCAACTTCAAGGGTTCGGTGCTCCAGCGGGCCGCCAAGTTCGGCTCGTTGGCCAAGCAGAACTCCCAGATGATCGTGAAGAGGTTCTCCTTCTCCCAGAAGAGCCGCGACGAGAGCGCCTCAGAGACCTCCACGCCTTCCGAGCATTCGGCAGCGCCTTCCCCGCAGGTGGAGACACGGACCCTGGAGATGCAGCTGGCAAAACACGGCGCCGGGACGCCTCCCTACCCCTCGCTGGCCTCCGCCTCGCGCCCCCGGCTGCCCGAATTGGTGAGCAAGCGGTTCCCGGCGGAGTTGAAGCTCCCCGCGGTGGTGCCTCCACAACCCCCCGTGCCCCGCCAGCTGGAGCTGCAACGGCGCAACACGGGAGATTTCGGCTTCTCCTTGCGCCGTACCACCATGCTGGACAGGGCGGCCGACGGGCACGTGTATCGGCGAGTGGTGCATTTTGCCGAGCCGGGGGCCGGAACCAAAGATCTGGCCTTGGGCTTGGTGCCGGGCGACCGTCTGGTGGAGATCAACGGGCACAATGTGGAAAATATATCCCGGGACGAGATCGTGGAGATGATCCGGCAGTCGGGAGAGACGGTGCGGCTGAAGGTGCAGCCGATTTTGGAACTGAGCGAGCTGAGCCGCTGCTGGCTGAAGAATGGCGAGCGAGCCCAAGGAGCGGCCTTTGATGTGAGTAGCTGGTACGCGTTGGGCAGGCTGGGGGCTGATGGGGGTCTCCTTCCCCCTTGCGGCTGAGTGGCAAGTTTTGGCTGAGTTTTGTCTCCTTGGCTGCCTTGGTGGGACTTCAAAATGCCCGCTCTCTGGCATGATGTGGCCAGCGCCATTGTCGTGCCCCTGTCGGAATCTGACTCGGAAGGGGAGGCCGAGAAGCTGACAGGGAGTGGGAGTGTGGTTCCGTTGGCTGTGGAGGAAACCGGGGAAGGGCAAAGTCCAGCTGGGCAGAGCAGGGAAGAGGTAGAACAAGGGAGAGGGAATTCAGAGGAAGACTCAGGCCCATCCCCTCTTCATCCTAGGGCACGCAGGGAGGAATGGAGAAGGGAGCAACATGAGTTGCATGGCTTACGGGGGCGGAAAGGGCCCGGATTCCCTTCATTAGCTGCAGCTGGGAACACAGTCTATAAAAAGGGAGGTTGCGGACAGCAAGTTGTTGGAAGAAAATTGTGAGTTATCTTTTATTGTAGAGGCTTATCTGGCTTCCTGGTGTCTTCCCAACTGTGTTTTGTTGGCCTTTGAACTCTGCAATTCCTTCTCCTGCCTTGTCCAGTTAATTGCTGCAGTGTGTTTTGTGTGGATTTTTATTTACAGTATGTATGTACTTTGTTTTCGGACTGAATTTCCTCCGCTTAAAGGCTGTTCTTGGGAGAGTTTTTTCTCCAGCTGAAGGTAACTGGACATTGGGGACAAAGTTGGAGGAATTAAAGGGTCATTACCTACTTTTGTGACTTTGTTGCTTTTGTGCCATGCCTGGGTCATCACAACCATCAGCCCTCCACGCTTCTCTTTGTGTGATGAGAAATTTGCCGCACAGAACCGGTTCCTTCTTATTTGCCAAATGATTTGGGCCACTTTAAAACGTTGTGGTGGTTGCCCAAATGTTTGCAAGAACGCTGGGGAAAATTTAATTCTGCATTTCAGCGGGTTTCATGATACCAGGGGTATTTTTGGTAAATGAGTTTTCGAAGATTGGGGAGCCTGAAGGGTGCATTTCCCCAAAAATATTCCTTTGTGTAGACCAGGGGTGTCCAACCGTAGCAACTTGAAGACTTGTGGGCTTCAGCTATGCTGGCTGGGGAATTCTGGGAACTGAAGTCCATTGTTCTTCAAGATGCCAAGGTTGGACACCCCTGGCATAGGCCAAGAGTGGCTGAGAATAAAAAAGAGAATGCTGCCTATATTTCTGGTTAACTGTGAGATCTTATAGGGCTAACAAATAAGGAATATTTCTTCATGCTTGGAGGAGAATTTAGATTCGATAGGCAAGACCTTCTGATAAACCACAATTTTCCAAATCCATCCAGTTTTTCGCAGCTTACCTGGAAGTGTGGGGGGAAAAAGTTGTTTTCTGGCTATGGTCTCTCTATTCACTGTGATGGGAAAGACGTTGCGTTGTCAAAATTGTTCTCTTTGCGCCCAATCATCCTTTGCACCCAATTTCTCACAAGGAAGCTTGTTCAAGGCCATCGAGCAGCCGCTGTGGCTTTTGAACCTTAAATTGGATTTAGGAGTTTCCGGCATGTGCCGAGTCTGTGCGTTGGTATGTGTGCATTATTGATCCATATTTTTAGAAAGGCCGGTGATTCAATATATATCTATATCTATATATCTATATCTATATCTATATCTATATCTATATCTATATCTATATCCATATCTATATATCTATCTATATATCTATCTATATATCTATCTATATGTTTTCTTAAGTTTTTGCGGGTATTTATATGTATGGTATTCAGCTTTGTTTGGGTATTTTCCCACGTCATTATAGTTG